TAAATTGAACTGTAGGGACAATTAGTTGATAAGTAAAATATTGGACCCCCCAACGGGGCACCGTGGGATCTCGCAGAAACATCGTGGAATGCGTGGGCCTTAGCTTTAAGTTGCGTGCGTCTTAGATTTAATTTGCGTGCGCTTAGTTTTAGTTAATTGTAAGACGGTTGTAAATTCAATGTTAGCACATTCTATAGAATGATACGGTTATTGCGAAACAATTTTTATTTTTTCTTTAAATATGTAAAATATTTTGTATATTATAACTTAATTGTAATTATTTTCAATTTCAACTTTGATTTGTATTTTAATATATTGTGCTTCGGTTTATTTTTCATCGGCTTTTCCTGAAAACTCCTTTTGTCGTTCGTTTGCATAATGATAAGAATTTGTGGACATTTTGCAGCTGCATATCAAAAGGAGTTTCATTTTTTTTTTATTAAATAAATTTGTTTTGAAGTAAAAGAAGGATGGATGAGACGAGGATGGATTTCGGTACGTAGCAGTCTCAACCAAGGCAATCATTGTTATTTGTGATACAATTACTAATTGCTTTCCTACGACAATTATGAACACTATAACAAATAATATGATCTACTCGGCTGCGAGCACGATTTAGTTTTTGTGTAATTAAAGGATTTGTTGAGTTATTAGAGAGATCGTTGATTTCTAAAATTATAAATTGAATTTTTTAATGATAACGTATAGCGCATTTGTAAGTATTGTGGAAGACCATGGACTTTAGATTTTGATAGATATTTTAAAACATGATTTGATAAAATGATAGATCTTTTCTGTCGTCTCCTTTTTGATTAAATATCAGGTCCGTTCTAAATATATTTCCCTAAGTATATTTCAATAAATAAAACATGCCGTTATAAGTAATAATTTTATCATTTCTAACGAAAAACCAATCGATAAACATGAAGGGCTCTTTCTGACACACACATAAGTACATGATAGAATAATTTTAGATACTAATCTCGTATTTTGGAATCTGTAGATACCATTAAACATTTTGCTTGTATCGTTTCACTTGGTATAGTCACAGACGAGCTTTACATTTCGATATTGAAAGTTGACAACACTGTAATGAACAAAAAATCATATTGCTGGCGCATTCACTAGTTTCCCAACTCACCGTTATTTAAGTGTAGAGTGCGCTAAAAAACCAGTGATTTTTTTTACTATGTCGGTATTTCAGGTCACGAGCCACTAAATCTCGTAAGATGCTTGGTCTATTCATATACCTCGTCTGCGGTGTCAGTGATTTTTTTTCCAGGTCGGTAATTCAGACTCCGAGAGACGAAGTCCTATTTCATCTTTAGTCAATGCTAGAACTCCGAAATCGTAGGAGAAAAAAATATATCGTACGTTAGATCTATTCATATACCTCGTCTATCGTACCAATCGAATTTCAGAGACAAAAAAGTGTGTGACAAGGACAGATCTACCGTGAACAGACAAGGATAGACATATATTGTGCGTTATACAATATATGACAAGAACAGAAACGACGATTAGTTCTACCGTTTCACCGCTACATGGCGCTAACGTTTCGATGCCCACGAATTGAATAAATTTTTATTAACAAAAGAAACTAATTAAAAGAATTAATACGTGAACTTTTATAATTGCATCTTCTTTGTTGGTTCGTAAATTTCCTTCCTCTATTTCATTTCGCTTATAAATCTATAAAATATACAAAGATTTACAAATTCTTCGTGATAGATCGAATGTCCTAGTTAAAAAATACGATATGTTTTACGCTATTAATTTGTGCGATTATATTTCGAAGTTGATGCTTTTGACTACATATACGTTCAATTTTGATTCACGTTTTGAGCGCGTGTTTACGAGAAATTAAATATTGAAGTTAGTTGTACTGAAACATTTATTTTTAGTATGATTTCCATTACATTTTATTGAAAGTATATTTTTTTTTTTTTGCAATAGTACAGCAGAGATAAGCGACTTGGAAAACTTGAGATTTGAGAGAAGATGACAGTAAAAATATTAACTTTCACAACATTTCCTAATTGAAATCTTATTCTTTAAAGTCGCAGATTTTCTTCTTATACAATATATTCTTCTTGTTCTTATACAATAAGTTTTCTTACACAACAATAAGAAAGAAAGCGTCTTTTTACGTATTCACCTAAATGTGAAAGGAGATCTGTTATTTATTTCAGACTATTTAGATTTATTTAGATTTATGTAGAATTATTTTGAAATATCTTCATAAACAAAAAGAATGGTCAATAGAGAGAATACTTTAAAGCATAAGGAGGACAGCATTAACCAGCGTTGCAGTCGTAGTACCACTATTGGTAGTACGAATCGCGACAGGATAAACTTTGGCCTCACCACTCTTACTCACGTACAATTACTACTGTATGAGAATACGAAAGAACGCAGGTGTTTCGTTTAGTTCGAAAAGTAGAGGGGTGATCGATGGATATACATACCTATGTCTCTTCGGTTGTTTTTCATTCATGTTCTGTTCCATCCTCCGCCGATACTGAGAACAACGAAGACTAATTTCTCTGCTTCGTATTTTCCCTTCGCGTTATCCCTTCGCATTTGTCAGCACGTTGGTTTCGTGTTTTACGAAAGAAGTGAGAAACAGTGAGATTTCCAGTAAAAATGATCGATCGTTGCGTTACAATCGGCTTTTATCGATGAAGAGAAGAACAGGTTGTGAAAACAGTGTGAAGAATCATGAATCTCTTGAAAATTGGGGTGCAAGATAAAATGGAGCATCGTTAGTTGCTGGTGATTGACTGCTCCAGTTATATTCCTTAATTGATCTTGTAAGTGTGTTTTCACATTTAATTTGATTGTTCATTATCTTTTATAGTATTGTTATATCTATTGTATTTATTAGAATGTATATTTCTTAATTTTTAAACGAAATTTAAGTTGAATCCTAATCACATTTATTTATTAATAATAATTATTAATCTTAAGTATATTAAATGCTACCCGCATAATGTTTAGTTTGAAAGACGAGATCCAGCTGTAAATTTCAGCTTCAAATTTAAATCTCTTGTATCTTAGTAAGTCTCACTTATGAAACGAAAGTTGTTGTTCGCTCTTTTCAATCTAAAACGTGTAACATTTGAATGTTTGCTGCTCTATTCCATTATTCGAGGGTCACCGATTCATCGATTTCCACGTTTAGGAGCGATGGAAAGTTGCGCGCGGTATGCATGACAAACGTGTCATTAGCGCCACTTAATCAGCTGCCGAATTCTTCCAAATTTTTTGAATTCAATTAGTCATTTTGAAGACTAAAGTCGTTTGCTCTTCGACAAATCGTTCAAGTTTGACGAAAGAATTGTGAAAGTGCCATTTCTTAAAATAAGACCACGATTTAGAATTTATAACTCTGTGACTCTTGTTAAAGATAGAAATATCGTCACCAATTCAATAATAAGTTGCATTGACAAATATAGTATTGTTAATACTAGAAACCATTGAAGTGGTCAAAATGACCGATCTTTAGTTTCTCAGACTATCGTCGATTTGTAACGTTGCATCTTCAGGGTTTTGAATGACATTTGTGAAATACACGGATGAAAACTCGCGCTTCAATCGGTAATTTTAGCGTCAAAGGTAGAAAAATGTCTACGCGTGTCGAGTAAACAAATCGAACGACAAAAATTACTTTTATTTGCAAACAATAGAACGGCGCGTAGAAAATGTGAAAGCGACGAAATTAACATGGTGGTATTCTGTTAATTTTGCAACAGGTATTCCCATTTATGAAACACGATATATTGTACGGTGTTCGAGGATCATTGTATGTAAAGTTCAGCGTATACGTAATGAAACTTGCAGTCTTCTTCGACGGCCGTATGTCACGTGAAACAGCCAGGACATCGTTGAAGAAAGCTCGAGTTCAAGGCTTTCGGCAACCGCAGCGATATCAATACGAAGAAGGCAGAGAAAGTTTGTAGTACGTTGAAATAAATCTGCGGCAACGATAAATCTCGGAAGAAAGCTTCGACAGAGAAACAGAACAGAGATCTTTCAGAGATCCTTCGAACGACTTGCTACGCCATGAGAATCGGGGCAAAGTATTTGTCGTTAATCTTCATCCTGTTGCCAGCAGTCGCTGGTTCTTTCATGGACTTCATGCGAAGTGTGTTTCAATTGGGAAGGGTGAGTCTTTTGGGTAAGAGCTGTTGAATTATTTCAATAATCCTCCTACAATACTATTTCGTTATCTTTAATGATTGCCGATACTGCTCTGCGTTCGTAAATGCTAAATTTGAATCTTCTCGTTTCACTGGTATTCATTGAAGAATTGATGATTAGCTAAGTGAAAAATTGACAAATGTAAAAAGTACAAATTGTAAATCGTTGAAGCCTTTAACTTTACAACAGGAAAGACAATCAGCTGGCTTGTAATTTGTAAAACTTGTGGAATTTATTTTTCATTGTCAAACTTGTTGATTATTATGCAATAAAATTAATTCTTCTCCAATTTTATAAAGATATAAAATTGTGTGATCATCGGCAGTTTGGAAAGAAAGAAAGTTAATAACAGAATAATAAATAAATTTTTCCCATCAAAAAGCAATCCTTAGGGAACAAACAAACAGCGCTTAAAACTTTTCAAAATTTGTCGTCATCATGACGCGATTAAATTAAATACACGTTTATTGTCTACATAAAATATTGCAATACTTGTAAGAATTGAACCGAATCTCACTTGATCAATGTTGAATGAAAAAAAAAAAGAAAAGAAAAGAACGTGCCATTCAGTTCATGAAATATCGACCGAGATCGAGTGAGATATCAACTGGTGGCGGGACGTGATGTGTTAACGCGACATTGTCAACTAGGCGTTACGTCAAACCGGAAGAGCGACTAGACAGCCAAGGAAAAAGAGTGCCTTGCATGCCGAAGAATTGGAGAAAGGCCGGTACTTTTCTTTTCGTTGGGCCGCCAAGGCGAATGAACAAACCGGTCCCAATTATTCCTCCTGTTCGTTTCAGACGCGAGTGTTTCAGTACTAAGCCGATCTCGACGCACGTCTATCCGTAAATTATTTGCCACGGCATTTAAACCACGATCCGATAGAATGCAAATGAACGAAAGAAAGAAAGCAAACGCCGCGACGTGAGTCGTATTCTATATGTGATTCTAAATCACTGATCGCTAAAGACGATCGATAAAGAATAAAGTTCTGTTGAAATTCTGACCGTATCGATACCGAATGTGACACTGTAAATGTCACGGAATTCTATGCGTTGAAACTTTCGTTGAATGCTTTGCAAATAACTCGCGTTAAATTATTATCGCTCTGCTAGGAATAAATCTTACACGAGATTTACGCGTGTCTTCTTGGTAAATTTGAAATCGTGCGTTAAAGGAAAGATTAAAATTCTGTAAATACCTGTATCGTTAAAAGTAATCAAACATATGATTAAGTACGTTCCTTTGCCTTTTCAGGACGATGTCGACAAAAGTGGGATTACATATCCTGTGATATATACCGGCATGAGAAATCAGCCTCGAGTGCCCGATTACGTTCCATTCCCATGCGACGTACAATTTGGCAGGTTGGAACCAAAGGTTTTCGAAACCTAATTCTTTTGATTAAAATCCTAAAAACGTTAGAATATAAGTTACAAGTGCAACGTAATGTTTTAAAGTACGACCACACACACTGCAACATACCGTTTTTGTGAATTACACACATATGCGCAGTGGATACAGTAATTATAACGCGTAATAATGTAATCTTCAGTTAGCTTCCTGTTCTTTTCAGGTCACCAACTGCGCCTGACAATGTGCATCGTTTACGGCCCGGTGACATAGATGTAGTCGGCGGTCTGGGCGATTCATTGGTCGCAGGAAGCGGAGCTCTGGAGGAGTTTGCAATAGGAACATTTATAGAAGCACGTGGAGTTAGTTGGTGCGTGGGTGGTCAAGGTGATTGGAGACGATTCTTAACCGTCCCTAATTTGTTGAAGGTATTAAACGCGTTAATTTCATCACGTTCTCCTTGGAACGAATTTAACAAAAGCGAAACGGAGATGCGACGTACCTTTGTGTGAATACCCTACAGGTATTCAATCCGAATTTGATCGGTTATTCAACGGGCACCGGTGAATTTCTCTCGACGAGAGCAAAGCTGAATATCGCGTTCCCTGTCGCTGCTACGGAGGACGCGTTGCAACAAGCACGCATTCTTGTTCAGAGGATCAAAAGGGATGCGAAAATAAATGTAAAGAAACAGTGGAAGGTATACTATGAAATGTCAACGTGATAATAATGACAAAGCACCGGGTCGTTCTCTGGTGTTACATACGAAATATATATGTTTTCAATTTTTTTTCCTTTTTTTTTTTTTTTACGAGAAATAAATATGAATTTAATTGAACTTAAACGATCCTGCTGGTTGCTACAATAAAAGCCAGGCCTTCTAGACCTTTTTAGCAAAATAAATTCACACTCCACACGTGTGTTAGCAATATTTCTGTGTGTTGCAGTTGATCACGATCTTTTTCGGCGCGAATGACATTTGTTCCGCCGAATGTTTCAATCACGCGCAATTCTCGCCGCTTCGCTATGCTCTTCATCTGCGAAGGGCGTTGGACTTCTTGAAAACTGTTCTACCTCGTACGTTAGTCAATGTTGTGCCAGTCATAGGTAATTTCGAGAAAGACATATATATATATACATATATTGTTAGAGATCGTTTGAAATATTTTATCGAAGAGTGTTCTCGTTTACAGATGTTACAGTTTCTATTAGGATACCACGAAGTACCATGTGCCATATATTGCACCCACTTTACTGTGCTTGCATGCACAGAGGCAATCGACCGGACATCGCGGCTTCAAAAATGTCGCATCTCTATCAGCAAGCTGTCGAAGCTTTAATATACTCAGGAAGGTACGCTTGTAATAGCTAACAGAAGTAAATAAATAAAAAAACGAGGCAAATAAATGATGGTATTGGTAATAACTTAGTAGCAGATATTATTTATATAAAATATTATTATAATAAATTTAGTATTGTGGCTACGTAGAATTGTAAGGGAATTTCACAACTATTTCAATATTGCACAGATATTATAAAAATTTTACTGCACAATTCCTTTTGCTTTTTATTTTTGTGTCTTACAACAAGTAAAGTTATCGAGAACGAAATTTATTCGAACAATCAACCTGTAATGTAACCTCGAAGCAACTCGAATGATGCCGAAACCTTGTTTTATTTGCTTTAGATACGACAAATCTCCAGATTTCACAGTGGTACTGCAACCATTTATTAAACTATTTAATGCTCCGAATGCAAATCCAAGGAGAGCGCCACCGATTGACCCCAGTCTAGTGACATACGATTGCTTTCACTTCAGCCAAAAGGGACATGCATTAGGTAGGAACATAAACGACAAATAACACAATTATCAACGTTCGTAATAGATTGTCAGTAGCTGTTCAAAGTTCCAATAGTTGCAATAATGTAATTTTATCATGTTAGTCGGATAACGGAAGTTTTGGCAATAAAGTCGTTCGTAGATGTATTGTATACAACACTGTCGAAAAGTTTATGATCGTTTGCCCGATAAGAAAGAAACTTAAATTTTTAAATAAACTTAATAATAATGGATACTTAACTTTTGTATATTTTACAATAAAATAAATATTACTCGTTGCAAACATTATTTTATGTTTCACGTTTCCAGTCTTGAGCACAATTATTAATTTCCTTTAATTGTCTTTTGTTTCTAATTATCTTTGATCTCGAACGAAAAAGTTAGTTAGCTAATAAGAGATACGTGCCCCTGCACGTATGCAACTTAACACGGCGATAGTATGCGAGCAGGTAGTATTGCATAAATTTAGGAGACTTTAATTGAAAAATAACTTTATGTAATAATCGTTTTTATTCTATTCGATAATCTCGTCAATATTTAGTTACTTCGCCTGGCTGTATTCTTTCGCCAGCATTTGAAAAACCTAACCGAGGAAATAATGAATAAGTAACATCAATGGAAGAAGCCTACGCGTCGATTGCGACTCGCCTACGTCATTCGTCTTAAACGAAAGAACAAATCAGTTAACGACGAGTATGCCAAAGTCAAGTACTAGTTAGACTTTTTGTTAGAGAAGTTAATCAGGAGTCATGGATCTGACATGGTCTGACAGTGAGACAATGTATCTGGTTGTTTCTCTTTTTGTCACTTGCTATGCCACATCGAAAATTAACAAATTAACCGTGACTTTGCAGCCAGATTGATCAGGATTACAATTAACACAGTAAACGTAAAAATAAAGTTAACAATGTGATATAATAATGACGATATGCATTTATAAATTTTTCATATTAATGAAATATCAACTTGAAAGGAAGCATAAGTTGCTACCACGTAAAGGTTTATTCATTTTGTTTCTATAAATCAATTGATTTACATTCTAAGTGTACAATTTAATACTTCCTTATATTTCAAATCCATAATAGGAGAACTCTCCTCTCTCGTCTTTCCCTCTCTTGCATATCTTATCTGTACGTTTTACGTAACACGTCTTTAACTCATTCAAATTAAAATGAAATAGTGAAATAGAATGAAGTACTTGTTAACTGTAATCTCTAGTAAACCACTTTTGAATGTAATAGTTCATATATTAATATATATGAATTACTTCTGCTTACAGTAAATAAATTAAATAATATTTGATAAATTATTAAATAAATTTCATTAATTTACATGTTTATAATATGCAAAGCAAATTTCAAGCATGAATCGTAATATTTGAATATTTTTTCCCAACATTATAAAGGCAGATAATAAATGGCTCGTCGTTATTTAGCTTTCTAAGGTTTGTGATCGAACCGAGTTCCCAATAAACTTGGGTAATCCCAGCAGGAAAATTTTAAGAAAATTTTCTGATAAAAACAGTTGTGATCTGACCTTCAAACTTTCGAATCGAAAAGATCACGAGTTTCATAGAATCTACCTCCTAACGATTTCTAACACGTATTCGAAGAGTGCTTCAATTTTAATATTTAATTAACAATATTGATTGTACGTAAGTAATTATAATTAATTGCTGTTATATCACGGTATTCATTATCATATTACGCTGCAGTCGCTCACTTCGCCTGCTCAATCGTTAGTTCAGTTTTCGCAATACTGCATAAGTGATGGTCATCTATCGTTTGGTTTTCAGGAGCGAATTTGCTGTGGAACAACATGCTGGAACCAGTGGGGAATAAAACGGAACGAGGGCTGCCAGAAATATTCGAGAGGCTTTTATGTCCAAATGAGAACGCGCCGTACATTTTCACGAACGTGAACTCCAGACATTTTCGAATGACAGGTCGTCAAGACGGCATCATGCCCAGATAACGAACGGAGAAACATACTGAATAGCAATGCTTTCACTTGTGATAATTATATGATATGTATCTTTCGTTGAAACATTTACCGGGTCAATTTCTGTAAAAATTTCGACTTTTACGCGCAGGCAAATTAATTCGTAAATAGATATTCGCGATACTTTGGAATTCCCCCTGTTGTTTGAATTACAGTACCAACGAATAATCCTGAATGAACAGTCTTTTTAACCAACCGAGAGAAATTATACAAATTAATTCGGTACCTTTTTTAGATAAACTTCAATTTTTTCAAATTTTTCATGTCGGGATATTCTTGATCAAACGCATTTAAATTATCATTGAAAGTCAAAAAGAGTATATTGTTTCTTTTTTTTCTTCTTTTTAATAGTCCGTGTTTTACAAATGTGAATTAATTCCTATATCTAACAATTAAATAATTTTGTTTCGAATTTATCATTTATGTAAATAATCTCTTTTGGCTAATTTTCAATTACTTGAAACATGAAAATTGAATAACAATTTATCACACCTTACGAAGTTTATATTTAAGTATTATATATTATATTTAAATTTATTCATCGTATGTATTAACAAATCTCAACACTCAGTGGTTTTTATTATACGATAACTATTTTATGCTGCAGAAAATTGTATTCCATGACCGAGTCTGTTAATAAAAAAGAAAAGATAACGCGGAGCCACTGTTCGTCTTAAAAGATAAGATTACTAGGAGCGATGAAAATGGATCAAACTATTGCGTTGATAAAGCACAGCGCTAAAATTGGGCGTTATTCCAATACAGGCTGGATTATCATTCAAATTCATTATTCATAACTCGTAATCGTATTTCATTCATGAAGGCCGTTCCCATGAAAGAGATTCTTGTCCAATTAATCGAAAACTGCAAATACATACATAATATACGTAGATACATAAACGAGGGTAATTTATTCCCGACTGACAAATGTGCAAATCAATGTACATAATATTTTTCATCCGGATAATGTTATATTAAATTATATATAAAATAATCAATCTACTTCAAATTGTTCGAATTGAAAACTTGTATTCACGCTAATTGGCTCGCTTTATTCAAAACCGCTAGGATATATTATTGCTAGGATAAAATAATTTAATTTTGACCGATTAATGTGAAGCACCGGTTCGAATAACATTTTCGTATGTCATGATACGAAATGTTATTGATACGAAAAATTTCAATAATAATGCTTTGATCAGCCTAAATTTCGGTCCACTTAATTATAATTCACTACTTATCTATTTCTATCGAATGACAAATATTTTATTTAGAAGAAACAAGATTTACCTAATCATGGAAAAATTGCAGAGAAACACTATCGTACATTTTAATAGTGTTTTAGTGATATTCTATCTATCGTAGTTTATATAAGCAAATTAATACTTTTTTTTTTTTTTAGCAATGTTTCCCTGTGTCGTAATAATATTGAACAATTATGCTGCATCGAAGACCTAATTATTGAATAGTTGTTTTACTACGTTGTTAAAACGTACACGTTGTCTCTACACGTTGAGACGTAGAAAATATACTGAATATTCCAAAACGATCTAAATAAATTATGACATAAATCGTTGGATAGAAACTGAAACAGATTGCTGTATCTTTTCTCGGTTGCTAAATTTTTATCAATGCTTATAAAGTAGTTCAAAATGAATGACCTACTTTCGTGAACACATGGCTAATGATTCATTAATTTCCTATCAAAATTCGATTATCCATGAAATTCCGTTATTGTTCAGCTGTACAATTTACAAAATTTACAAAATTTCACAACTAAGATAGAATAAGAACAAGTAAGTACTTTAAAAAAAAATGCAGAATTACCTGAGTATTTATCAATTATGAAAATTTACCTTTATAATTATTGCTTGTCATCAAATTGCCTGATATGATTTTAAAACAATGCCGATAACACAGTCTTCAGTCGAACGCATTTTTTTCGCTAAAAATGTTGAACGAAAATTTTTACAAAATCCTCAAAGCAAATAATGCGAGTTATGTTCTAAGCAAACGTATGAAGAAAATGATTCAAATTAATCACATGTTTATGATACGTTTTGCGTAATTTTTTTTCACGCATTTGTAATAGGAAATGTATTAACAAATTGTCATTAATTTCTTTTTAATCATCATGAACATTAATTTTCTGAACAAGAAGTACTGTTTTGTTAAGGAGACATTCTTTTTATGAAGCAGAATCTGTAAAAAGTTACTTTTCGGATTAGTTATTAATTGTCGCACATTATCGGTGAATAAGAAGAAAAGTTCAAAATTTGTAACTTTTACATTTTTTTTGTTTCTTCTTGTGTCATTGTTAATCTTTCCTGACAGACTTGTTATCGTAAGATTATTTTTTCTCGGTTTTAAAAAGAAATTCTTATAAACTCTTCGTCACAAAATCATTTTTCCTTGAATTGGTTTTAAAACAAAATTTTTAAATTCCGATGAAAAGTCACAGCCACATTTCGTTTTCATTCTTCGTGAGAAGAAGACACAAGACGAAATTCGTTCCGTTTGTTTGTTTTTTTTTTTTTTTTTT